TGTTGGTGGTGCTGTTGGTGATGTTGGTGGTGGTGGTGGTGTTGGTGTTGATGGTGATGGTGGTGGTGGATTAATAATTCCGTCACAGCATTTGAGTGGATTTGTTTTCAAATCTTCTCCCATTTTGTGTTTTCCAAAGTATTTATTTTACCTTAAAAGTATGTAAACATGATTTTTTCCCTCTTGTTGCAGACGCTGGTCAGCCGCTAAACAGTGACAAAAATAATCTGGTTCTACTCTACATAACATATGCCTTCACTTATTTTAACGATCGTAACTGGATCGTTGCTCGACGAAAAATGTTGTCCAAAATTACTGGAAATAACAGTCAGTTATACCTTAGTATAACTGTCAGCTAATACTGACCAATAACTTTGAAACTTTACTGTCGGTGATAATTTTTCCAAACCTTTTTTCAACACTTTCACTCTCAGCGAAAAATAAAACAGAGCAAAAAATATATACATAGTTAGTCACTGTTTCTAATACTGCCTTATTTTGACAGTTTTACCATCTTTCTAACAACTAACTGCGAGGTAATAAACTGTGATTAACATTAATTTGCTGTTGCTTTTAATTCAAGTTCCGGTGGTTCCGATCACTGTTCCGGTGGTTCCGATCACTGCTCCAGTGGTTCCGATCACTGTTCCGGTGATTCCGATCACTGATCTGGTGCTTCCGATCACTGTTTTGGTGGTTACGATCACTGTTCCAGTGGTTCCGAACACTTTGTCGTTGGTTTCGATTTTTGTTACGGTGGCTCCGGCGCTTCCTCCGTAACGGTTCATATTGTTGACTTGCTGTGTGACGTTACGCGACGTGCGTGACCATTTGATATTTCTATTTTTGATCGATCGGTTGGTGTTTGATCATGTGATGAAAACAATAAATTCTTAGACAAAGGGTAAATAAATTGGTAACGAAGAAAGTCAAAGCGGCGGAGGGGTTAAGACACAAATAAGGAAAAATAAAGCAACCTGCCCAAAAGGAAGACAAAAAAAGATGGCATTTTTAAAACTCTCATCTAGATCTACGGGGATAGCAAGACCTTTGGTTGAGTTGGTTCGCTTCCAATCTACCACCACCACTGCAACTACACAAGATGTTGAATCGAGTAATGTTCGTCCCTTTGAAGAAGTTCCCGGTCCTAAAGGCCTACCTTTCTTTGGGTCGTTCTATCGCTACATACAAGGTGGTGGCTTCCATAAGATGTTTAATGTGCAAAAGGAGCTATTTAAAGAGTATGGACCGATATTCAAGGAGACTTTATTTGGAAGGACTGGAGTACATGTCATGGATCCTAAGGACTGCGAAAAGGTATTCCGAAACGAAGGAAAATATCCCCACAGGACAGTTATAGAACCGTGGCTTAGGTACAGAGAAGAGCGAGGATACTATCATGGAATTGCTCAAATGTAAGTATCTAAAGATAAAGCAAATTTATGAGAAGATGTGTTACATAACAGTCTGTAGATGATACTCAACAATCATTGGATAAGGTTGAGCAATATGTCGAAGCTGTAGGCTGAGGTTGATAAAACAGCCGAGGCCTTGATAATTTACGATATCTTGCGAAAACCGAATTCAAAAATTGGTTTATTTCAATTTTGTAAGTTAAGAATGAAGATTTGATTCGATCTGCTTTCGAAAAAGGAGGAAAAGTATTTCAATCTCAATTGTGACCTTGAGTGAACTTGACATGTTTGAAAAACTTTTTTTAATTTCTGACTAATTGATATTGATGTAATATTTCAAACACTGAACAGTGAGTTGAAAAAACGAGGTGCAGCCGATTTATTTCAACTGACTTTGAGGTGTTTGGAAATCAGAGGAAGAACTCTCTCAAGTGTCTCAAATTACTTCTTGAACTCATGAATATTTCTTGGAGAAAATTAAAGAAAAAGTTTACGAAATTTAATGCAAATTAAGAACACAATTCCAAACCACCGTCACAGTAGTGATTTGCTTTGTTTTCTCCTCATTAAATATTCATGAGTTTTAGAAAGATAATTATAAAATATTTGAAATGTAATGTAATGTGTGTGCTGATTGGCTGGCTATCCTGTTTATATCAGGTTTTTTCCTTTTTATCCTGTGAGAAGTTAATCATTAGACAATAATAAATTGTGGTCCATTTGTCAGGCAAGGCAAGGAATGGCATCGCATTCGCAAGGCTCTAGCACCAAAGATGATGAGACCCAAGCAACTCTACGACAACATTGAGAACTTTTACGGGGTGGTTGATGATTCAATGGTTAGTATCCGTAAAGCACGTGGCAATGGAAAGACTAGTGGAGAAGTACCAACTCTGGATCAGGAGCTGTTCAAATTTGCTACAGAATGTAAGGTTTTAAGTTTTTGGTCAGCATGATAACAGTCTTGATTGTTATGGGTGTATTTTGGGGTTTACTGAAAACTGAACACCTAGTGGGAAAAACTCGAGTCATGTCTTCTTGAGGCTGGTACCCAAAAATAATTGTCTGTTGCATGTGTTACCCAAAAATTGACTATTGGTTGGGTTACCCAAAAATTGACTGTTAGATGTGTTACCCAAAAATTGACCGTTGCCAAAAATTGACTGTTGGGTGGGTTACCAAACAACAGACTGTTGGGTGGGTTACCCATGGTTTTGTATATTTGAGATAAGCCTAGTGACTAACCTATGTTACAATCATGCTGAGTAGGGTCATTACATTTTTAAACATGACTTGGGGAGGGGGGTAGGACTAAGGATGGAAATCTTATATTTTATCATTTTAATCCAAATCACTACCCCTCCCCCTGCTATGTATGACTATTTCCTGAGAATAAATAATTTAACATGATTCATTATTACCCAAACCAACCTAATAGTGTGAGAAGACAAAATGGGTGAGGAATTAGTAAGAGAGTTCTCTGAAATGTGAAAAAATATGAGGTCCGACAAAAAAAACCAGCATTTTTTTTAATTTTTGGTTTCCTGAGGCTCAGATTTCCAGCTGTTGAGGTTTCGTACACACCTACGATACACTCCCCTCTAGCTCTAACAGGGGAGAGTATCATACTGTAGGCTCATATGAAACCCTGACAGCTGGAAATCTGAGCCCAGACTTCCTTCAAATAAAAAAAAATTATTGATGTATATCAAAACTCAACTATAGTTTTTGTCTGGTTTCCGCACTAATTACATGAAATCTGGTACAATTGAATCTTCATGTTGCAGCAATTGGGACAATGGTTTTTGATGCCAGAATTGGACTCTATGAAGACCCACCAAAAGAGGAACCACAACGATTTATCCAGTCAGTCCATGACTTGTTTCATTATACGCAACAAATTATGTTTGGATTTGAAAACTACCTCTTCAAATATTTCGATACACCATCCTGGAAGAAGTTATGTAAAGCTCAAGACATCGCCATAGAGATTGGCCAGAAATATGTGGACAAGAAAATTGCTGAATTGAAGGAGAAACTGGACAATCCAGAGGAATTACTTGAGGAAAATGGTATTATTAATACCTATTAGTTTAGATGTCAAGTCCTAGATTTATTCAAGAATGCCCAAAATTGGATGAAATAGAATTCTTTAGGTTCATTATTCTTAGGGGCATAATGTTTTCCCATTTCAAACCACCTGTCATTCTCTTGAGAATGAGATTCTTGGCTTTAGGAGTTGTAACCATATTCATGTGTCTTCCCAACTGTTAAACAAAGAAATGATACTCTAGGAAATGAAATGTGGTCTGAAATGGGAATAAAGTCAAAACAAAAGAGGTTTATTGCTCAACTAGTTTCAGGAGACGAAAAAGAGCTCAAATAATTAAAAACTGCTCAAAAAGCTTTAGAAGCAAACCTAACGAAGTGGTAACAAGATGCCTTTTACTGAACGATAAACCCGCAAGGCTTTTTTCTTACCAAGCGTAAATTACGCCTCAACGTAAATTGCTGCTCAATAACCATGCAATTGAAACTAATCAAGTTCTATCTTACAGTGGTACCCGTTTTAACATATTTGTTGGCCAAGAAGGAACTCACTCCACATGAAATTAATATCAGCTCCATTGAGATGTTCATGGGCGGTGTAGACACGGTTAGTATTCAAACCCTCTAGACCACCTCTGGACTGATCTAAGTCAGCTATGGAATGGCTAGTCAGTCGGGGGAGTGAGCGTTGCGTGACAACACTAATAGCGGCTGCGTAGAAAAATAGGGAATGGCTCGCTAGTTACGTCTTTAGCTAACTTGAAATTTAGCTTTATATCTTTCCTTTGCAGACGTCCAACACGGCTCTGTGGCTACTGTATAACCTGGCGAGGAACCCAGAAGCGCAGGAACGCCTGTACGAAGAGATAGTGTCAGTGACGGGTAAAGATGGTTACCTTACAGCTAAGAATATGGGTCGTATATCTTACTTGAAGGCCTGTCTGAAAGAATCCATGAGGTACGGCATAGAAGATACCAGAGTTAAAGTACCCCCAGCCTTCTAACATTATTCCTATTTGAAATACACAGAGTTGAATGGAAATTGGACCGATAGATCTATTTAGCTCTCATGTGTCATTCCTAGAGTATCTTGCCTTTGTTTAACAGTTGCGCAATAGAAGACAAATGAATATGGATGACGCTCAAACAAAGAATCATATATTCTCAATACAATAACACACGTTCTAGAATGAGAAAAACATTACATTCAAGCTTATTAAAATAGATCTATTGGTCTAGTCATTGCTATAATAGAATTATGCTGGAGAAGACTAAAACTCCGATGGAGATACTTTTGGTGCTACTGACTTTTGAAATTCCATGTTTTCGTGAGTAACCTATAGTCCTTGTCGTTTCCCTTAGAGTTAATCCCGTTGTGATAGGAAACGCCAGGTTTCTTGATGAGGACATAGTTTTGAGTGGATATAACATCCCAGCAAAGGTAAAATTTTAACTTTTTTTATAGAGCGTTCTTTTCCACGTTTTTGGATGGAAAAACATTTTGAAACGTATTGTGCGATAGAAATTAAAGTATTGCCGTATTGCGCAACGCAACATTACCTCACCTTATATTATTACCTTATTGTCGTATTGCTGCACCATTAATTAAAAAACTTCACGTATCTCTTCCAGACCTTGATCCAACCATCCATATACGCCGTTGCCCATTCAGAAGAGCACTTTGCAGACGCAGGAGAATTCCGACCAGAACGATGGCTGCGGGAGACTGGTGATGATTTCCATGCCTTCTCTCATTTACCTTTTGGGTTTGGACCGCGCATGTGCATTGGTGGGTTTAACTATGCAGCGTTTATCATATTGTTTTCTTTTCGATGTTATTCCTGGGGATGTGTAATAGGGGTTTCTGGAGTTATGGGCCCGCAGTAGTGGTTCTGATTTGGCCTGCTGTTTGGCCACACAAACTTTCTATTACACCTATAGTGATTTGACATTAACTATTTCAAAAGTCTTCAAATTGTATCTATACCCTAAACCCTCTGGGCTGATAAAAGTCAGGGCACGTTTAAATCACAGATTAAATTGAAATTTAGCATGTTAGAGTTTGCGGAGGGGGAGAGGGTTGTTTAAGGTTGTTAGTCAGCGATTCCATGCTTTTTTGTGTGTGTTAACACAGGTCGACGTGTTGCAGAGCTGGAAATCTATCTTTTTGTATCTAAGGTATGCATTATTTATTCATTCCCCCTTCTGGTGTATTATAGTTTAGTATTATAACTCTCACATGTTTAATCAATTTGCGGCCTATATTCCTTTTTCAGTTCATTCAGCAGTTCAGGCTCGAGTATCACCGCGAACCAGTGGAACCTCAAATGCAGATATTGATTATTCCAGAAGAAACCATCGTTTTGAACTTGGTAGACAGAAATATCTAGCGGTCCTTTAATCATACCCCCACATGCACACCTACACATAGCACGGACGTAGTTGCTTTTAAAACATCGATGAAAGAGTAATCCAGTACCTCTCGAAACCTAGATTTTCATTGCTCCCTAAGTACAGTACCGCTTTTGTAAGGTTAGGTTTAGTGCTATTGTTTGGATGACCAATCTATTGTTTTTCAATCCAATCATGTAACTCGTTCCGAGCGGTACGGGCTGGCTCCGATGAAAGGGAATGTCTCAAGAAGAATTTATCGTATTGAACGCTTGGTATCTAAGAAGCGGTTCTTTAGCACGCACAAAGGACACGGATGTAGGGGCTTCCCATCGTCAGAGCCGCTTTAAAGAATATATCTCAAGAAATTGATCTGTGCTTAAGCAATAGAAGGTTCATACGTTATAAATGCGCACGCGTAGTAAGAATTTCCAACTGATTTTAGGCAGCTTTAAAAATTAAAAAAATATCCATTGTTGTCATACAATCTCCTATAACTTGAATTTTTTTTATAATAGACAAACATTGATAAGCGGTTTGAAAGCATAAGAGAATCAAAAAAATGGCGCCCATCTTGGTGGTATTAACAAATGAAGCTAACGAGGTACAATTTAACATGGCCGCGATGACGTAACGTCCAATCAAAGAATACTAAGGATTGAAAGTATGTCGGCGGCCATGTTGGATGTTGGAAAAGCTGGACGAAAATCTCTGGGCTGCCTGACCTTATCGTGATAGTATAATCTCTTCAATCTGATTAAATAATCAAATGTTTTTTCAACAGCTAGTCTGCAAAAATAACCATGAAAAACTAAATAATAGGTGGGTGTACTGTTTACAAAACCAAAAATCAACTTTTGAGCCATAAACGATTGGACTTAAGAAATATAAAGACGTCATAACTGTTGATAATATTTATCAACTTGAGAGCAGTTGCTTCTTAGTTCAGGAGATATAATAAATTAAAGTTGCTAAATTTTGCAGTAAATGTAGGTTGGCAACATCTTGCCAACCAACATTTACTGTCAAATTTCACAACGTTAACTTGAAAACTATCAAGAGATTTGTCCTCAAATTGTTTGTTTATTGCTTGAATTTCCAAGAATTTTATGTTCTTGATCAAAACAAATGACGTCATCGTCGTACGCCCACCTATAGATTGTACAAAGTTTAAAAGTTTTATCACTTATATCCATCTCCACTTGTCAAGGATGCACTAAAGGAAGAAAAATAATGAAACTATCCACCTCCAAAACTACATTAAATTAAAGTAAATATGTTTTTGAATATTAGTAATAAAACGCTTGAAAAACTTTTGTTCCTATTTCATCACAACTTAGGGACTCTTAGTACAGAGGGCAGCTTTGCACCATCACGTGAATGGCAGCCATGACAAGAAGCAGGAACAATTGGTCTGGTCTAATCTACTTTACATGAGAAAGAATTCAGTTTCTCAAGGTAAAAAGACTCTCTCTGTCGTGGTTGCCATCACGTGATGGTGCAAAGCCTCTATATACGTTCGTCGCTACCAAACAGAAGGCTAGAATGTCGGATTTCTCCCAAAACAGTGATGACAGGAGCTTTCACTTTTGGTCCTTTATGCTATTCATTTTTTTACACATTTTTTTATATTTATCTACTATTTTTTTAATGTGATTCATTAATCTAAGTGGAACCACATATTTCTTTCCATGAATCGTTCGGTATTAGTGAAAATCTAGATAAAATTTCAAAGAAACTTTATAGATTTTCCGCTAGAACTTTGAATTCGTATCACTCTTATGTTTCTTATGCTTAAGAGATGACAAACCTCCTTATGCCTGCAGTCAGAATTGCAATACAAATGTAGCACACTTCGTCGTATCCTGGAAAACGTATGATGACACGGTCGCTGCGTGACGTAACGTGACGTGACCTCACTACGCAGGCTACTGCCCGGTTGGTGTCCAACTTGATCATGTGATTAAAAAATTTCTTGGACACAGAGTAAACATGTAACGAACAAAGTCCTGAGGCAAAAGATCCAGGAACAAGAAAGGAATTTGAATCTCGACCTGTTAAAAACGAAGACAAAAAGATATGGCATTTTTAAAACTCTCATCTAGATCTGGGATAGCAAGACCAATGGTCAAGTTGGTTCGCTTCCAATCTACCACCACCACTGCAACTACACAAGATGTTGAATCGAGTAATGTTCGTCCCTTTGAAGACATTCCCGGTCCTAAAGGACTACCTTTCTTTGGGTCGGTCCATCGCTATATACAAGGTGGTGGTTTTCATAAGATGTTTAATGTGCAAAAGGAGCTATTTAAAGAGTATGGACCGATATTCAAGGAGACTTTATTTGGAAGGACTGGAGTACATGTCATGGATCCTAAGGACTGCGAAAAGGTATTCCGAAGTGAAGGCAAATATCCTTACAGAATACCATTGGAATCTTGGTTGAGGTACCGAAAAGAGAAAGGATATCATCCGGGGATTCTTCTCATGTAAGTTCTAGTAATTCAGGATTCGAAGGATTTCAGAGATTCATTAAGAAATTTTGTAAAACCATCAAAAACTTTTTGCTGGTGTCTACCTACTTGATCATCAAATTATAATTTAAGCGTAACTTTGCATTATATAATACAAAAAAATTTTTCGAACAAGTTTGTCTTTATATTAGCGAATATACTAGTACAACATTTAAGGACAATGTAGACTGTTTTTTCTCACAGTATTTTTCCCTACCGAAATTTTTTATAAATACACTCCGGTTTTTTCCTAATTAATTTATCTTCAAGGCAACACTTAGCTATAGAGCCAAAGGTTAATGCGTCACACTCTAATGACTGTATCCTAATAATATGCATTACCGTTATCCTTGCGTGACAAAGCTCGATTTTGTCGTGACCTTGACTGTGACTGCATCTCTGTAGATTGATATAAACGCAACTATCACTTAAAGTTTCTATCTGGTTATGCCATTTGTCAATCTTCGTTCCCCCACTATAAGAATTAAATATAATTTTTTAAAATTAATTTTGGTTTCAGGCAAGGTAAGGAATGGCATCGCAACCGCAAAGCACTGTCTTCCAAGATGTTGAGACCCAAGCAACTCTACGACAACATTGATAATTTCTATGGAGTGGTTGATGATTCGATGGCTAGTATCCGTAAAGCACGTGGCGAGGGAAAGACTAGTGGAGAAATACCAGCCCTGGATCGGGAGATGTTCAAATTTGCTACAGAATGTAAGATCATCTTTAATTACCTGTTTTGAGTTTTTGCGAAAGAGGGTGAGGTGGGGATACAGCCCTTGCCCTTGATTCATCATGTGCATGTTCCCTACTAGCAGAGTTTCTTTCGTTGGCGATTCTCCCATTTTCTCTTCCAAGAATCGCCAACTAGGGAACTAGGGATTGATTGGGAAGCTGCACTGTGATTGGGTCAAAGTTAAGCCAATCAGACAGGCACGTTTTTCACTGAAGTTGTTCTGATACTTTATCCTAGCCGTCGGAACTATGGTTTTTGATGCCAGGATCGGACTTTACGAAGACCCACCGAGAGAGGAACCACAACGATTCATCAAATCAGTACATGATTTTCTTTACTCTACTCAACTACTCGAGGTTGGGTTTGAAAAAATCTTCTACAAATACTTTGACACACCAGGATGGAAGACAATGCGGCAGTCCCAAGATGCCATTGTAGAAATTGGCCAAAAATATGTTGATATGAAAATCGCTGAGCTTAATGACAAACTGGATGATCCGGAAGAATTGCTGGATGGAAAAGGTGCGTCCACTATTATTTAGGGCGCGATTACACTGAGCAATTTTCCGGCTCTGCAACTTGTCTCACAACAGCGTTGGGACACAAGTTGCAAGAGTGTTAACACGGTGCGACGCTGACTCGATTGTAGCTAAAAGTAGAAACGAAATGTATTTTTCGCAACGATTGCTGCAACTTGTTTCGCAAGATCTTTTCAAATTGCGTTGTAGGTTACACGCTGCAATGCTCCATGCAACTTGTTTCGCAACGACAAGTTGCAATGAAATTTGCTGCGTGTAATCGCGCCATTAGGGATTACAATAAGGTCTTACTTGCGCGCAAGTTAAAGTAGATTTACAGTCAGGACACTCTAACCATGAACACTTTGTGCTTTTTTACTACTTTTTTTAACATGCATCCCTTGAGTGAATCATTTAGAAATAAGTTGTCTTTTGATCACACAACATATTTGAGTTCAATCCTACTTTTTTAGAGGGTTTGAAGCAGTAAAAAGCTCAGAAAATAAAAATCTGAATAAAATCAAGTTTCATGGTTCGAGTGTCTTCACTGTAAATATCCGTTGAGTTTTTTTATTAAGGTGGAGTTAACCTGGACTCAGGAGGGTTTATCTAGAACAGTTGTGTTATATAAAATGTCTGCAAAAGCCTTTGTGGGATTCGGCAAAACGTCAATACCTTAAAAAAAACCTCGCGCTATGTTAGGCTGCGTTTACACGAAAAATTCGTTCAATACCATGTAAACGCAGCCTTAGTTACCGAACTGCGTGACATGTTCCATGTAACGTATCGTCTCTTGTAACGTCTTATTAAACGCCTCTCCTTGCTGCTTATTTTATTCCAGTGGTTCCTCTTTTGACGTACTTGTTGGCCAAGAAAGAACTCACACCCCATGAAATCAATATGAGCGCTATAGAGATGTTTATGGCAGGGGTAGACACGGTAGGTGTTTTTATCATTGTTTAAGGACACTGCCATCCAATACACTTATACTATCCATTATAGGACTAATGCATTAACGTTACTACCTTGCAGACGTCCAACACGGCGTTGTGGCTACTGTATAGCCTTGCGAGGAACCCAGAAGCGCAGGAACGCCTGTACGAAGAGATAGTGTCAGTGACGGGTAAAGATGGCTACCTTACAGCTAAGGATATGGGTCGTATATCTTACTTGAAGGCCTGTCTGAAAGAATCCATGAGGTACGACATATGAGATACTAGCTAGAGTTAGAGTATCCCAGCGTTATTCATAATTGGAATACACAGGGTTGAGTGGAAATTGGACCATAGGATGTCTTTAGCTTGGTGTAATGTTAACCCCTTATTGTAAACACTCGTTGTTAAAAGTTCTGCCTTAATGTTGAGACCTTTATCACATGATACGTATGATGCCGGCAGAAATGATTACCAAATACATGCACCGTTTTGTAAGCAACCCTTATAAAATACTATTTTATGTTTTCGTAGACTTCATCCCGTTGTGATAGCAAACGCCAGGATTCTTGACGAGGACATAATTTTGAGTGGTTTCAACGTCCCGGCAAAGGTATACAGCGAAGTTTTAGTGCTTTATTGAGGCGGTGTAAGACTTGTAAATGTAACTTGTTGCGAGACAGTTACACTAGAAATTAAAAATAAACAGTTTTCCGCTTTACAGCCATTCTCAATCACACGCGCCCTCTAGAGATTGTTTCTGTCGCGACGAAGAAGGTTTTGGTGGACGTCAATCACAAGGCGTTTCCATAACATTGTCGGAAAACACAAAGCTGTAAGGGCACGTGCCTATGGAATGTCATAGAAACGCCTTGATTGACGTCCACCAAAAGCTTCTTCGTTTCGACAGAAACAATCGCTAGAGCGGCGCGTGCGATTGAGAATGGCTGTAAATACTCTGATCTAAACACGCTTGATTCTGAGATAACATGAGAGAGGCGTGTATAGTCGGGAAACCATGAAGCGTTGCGCGTGGTTTTCACCTTCTTAAGTATATCATTCCCTTGAGAGTACTGTAAGTAATTCGTGTGTGCGCAATTCAGGGTGGGCTAGTATTGGGTAGTATCTCCTGTGGTATATATGATATAAACCACTTCACTTATTCATTCTAGACCTTGATACAGCCAGCCATTTATGTCGCTGGTCACTCAGAACAACTCTTCGAAAGGCCAGAAGAATTTCGACCAGGGCGATGGCTGCGAGAGACTGGTGATGACATCAATGCCTTCTCTCATTTACCGTTTGGGTTTGGACCGCGCATGTGCATTGGTAGGTGAATGACTGAATGAATGAGTAGGTTTCTAAATGTAAAATTGCACACTCAAAAATCATTCATTTGGCTTCACCAGAATTTATCTTGCGCTCTCCTTGGTAACTGCTTTCTTATCGAAATTTACTTTTTCTTTCTTAATTCAACGCTTCTAAGGCTGTCTTCATTTTCTATCTTCGAAACAATACAAGAGGAACACTGCGCTAACTATCAACATTTTTACTGATACCCGCGCGGCTGCACAAGGTCGGGAACTTACTGTATAACAAGAATATAGTTCATTCAATTAAAAAACGTATGTTTTCTAATGTTAACACAGGCCGACGTGTCGCGGAGTTGGAAATCTTTCTCTTTTTGTCAAAGGTATGTTTCTGAACAAAATCAACTCGAAGTTTTCTTATAGTTTTCTCTTCGGAATGTGTGGTTCAATTTTTGCATTGGACCAAATTTGAGCCATTAAGTTCTAATTTGTCAAGAGAAAGCACAAGCTTTTCCTTGTCCAAGTTGCAGCTTCAGTTGTTTCAAACAAGAAGCGATATGTCTTCTTCGCTCTCACCCTAATTTGACAGACCTTTTAGCGGTATGAACACACCGTTTTTAAATAAGTAATAGAATGAGAAAACCATCTTTCTAAGTCAAACTTCGCTTCTTAAATCTACCTGGATAAGTTTGGTTCTCGCTAGTTTTGGCCAGAGCCTTCTGAACACTCGAATCCTGATGGAATCCTATAGGCCCATAACGATTGCAATGGTAAAGGTGTTGGTTACTTTTTTGTTGACGTTTAATTTTTCTTATTTCAGCTCGTTCAGCAGTTCAGACTTGAGTATCACCGCGAACCAGTGGCATCTCACATGAAGCTGTTGATTATTCCAGAAGACCCCATAATAATCAACTTCGTGGATCGAAATGCCTAAAGGCCGAACTCGGATTAACAACTCACTTAACATCACACACATACGCGCGTTTAAGTTGTTTTTTATAGTGATTAGAGTAGATTTTGGCACAAGACACGGTCACAGTACAGAATTGCATTAACATTCTTTGAACCAATCACAGCGCGCGCGAGGTTACTGCACATCCAATCAGAATGCTTGGATACGGCATCGCCTGCACATCACATCACATCGCATCGCATCGCATCGCATCGCATCGCATCGCATCGCATCGCATCGCATCGCATCGCATCGCATCGCATCGCGTCGCGTTGCGTCGCATCGCGCATCGCATCGCATCGCTTCACATCACATCACGACAGCGGCACGACACGGTCATGTATACAAAACGTGTTCTGTAACTCTGTATGTAGAGAACACCTTAAGGGAGAAGATCGTCTTAGACAATTTCAAGTCAAATCATTCTTTTCTGTGAACCATCCCTTTCAGTATCCTTTGACTACCATTGCAACGAGGCCTCTGTGCATGATACAGGCAACCCAGTGAACGCCTATTAGACCGTCTTGTTAAAAACATATTCACAATCAACGCTTCAGAAAAAGAACTGTTATATTACCCTGGGTTCCAGAGGGATTCGAGGATTTACTGAGAGCTGCTTTCGCGACTTCACCGCTGTCAGTAAGATACGTGAAAAAAATCCCTGTGGAACCAGGGTATCGTTATATTGGATTTTGGCCAAATGTGAGACACAAAACTAGTACGGCATTTCGTGACTAAGTCTTTATGTAAATATTAGAGTGTGTGACGAAATGTTCATGTAACCAG